ATGTATCTATCTAATTTATGCATGTATGTATGTATCTGTCTATGTATCTATCTAATTTATGAAACGGTTTCCGATGGCTTGAAAGTGAAAATGAAAGGACCCAGATTTTATAAAGTCACATGTGGTCACATTATAGACACTTTTTTTGAATGTAAAATATCTTTATTTCGACCTTCTCAAAATGTGTTTCCGTAACAGAAGTTGTTATCATGGTGAGTTGGAATACTATTCACAAATTAATTAGGAAATATAATAATGAAATCAAATGCATTATAATCCATGAAAAGCAACAAGCCTGTTTCAGATTTCCAGGCCCACTGTCCACAATCAAGCCACTTCCTCTTCAATCGACTTGTACGCTTTTTTTCGGGGAGTTTCGAGACTTCAACAAGCAGTCATTCAGAGTCAAAAATCCAATCGTAGATGAGAGGTCTGATGTGACAGAACAACAATCATCATACATCATACCAAAATACATCTAAAGTAATCCAGAACAGAAAGGAAGGTTTCCGTAGCAACACGTAAAACAAAAGTCTCTTCATAAATACTTGACAAATATCAGTATATCATTCTTTTGTAATACAAAACAACTTTCTTTTTTTCTCATGGTTAACACATGACAGTTGATGGTATTTTGGCAACATCTGCATCGGAGGAGAATTAACACAACTGGTATCATAACATAAGTCACTGGACATTAATCTTCTTCACCCCTCCCACTCCCACCCATAGCTAAATGTCTTTATACATGATCTTGCATGATAAAAACTATGAATGGAATCATTGACTTAACAATGACATTTACAGATGCAACAAGCACGTGTTTGTTGCCTGAAATTGAAAAATTACGTCTCATCAACTCCATGTATTTGCTATTAAATATTCTTCTCGTCTTTTGGAGAGTTCGAGATTGAGGTGAATTCAGTATTGGGGTCAGATTCCTTAAAAAAAGTGCTAATGTTTGAACTAGCATCATATCAAAAACACAATTTGGAAAAAAAGGTCCTTCCTCCTTTCGTACTGAATTGACCTCAGATCTTGCAGAAAAAGCTCTTTCTAGACTCCGAGCTCAGTGGTAGTCTTCAGTAGAAAAAACTACAGTGTCACTACTTGTTTTGCTGGTTCTGCACCACATCTGAATGAAATCAAGAGTTCTTCGAGGCACCTGTAGTGGTACAAAGATGTGCTCATCAGGGTTAAGGTATTGTAAGTTCCTTGTTAAGGTTGTTTTTTAGTTCATCATCAAGTCCTCAGGAGGTGAGACCCAGAGAGAAGACCAGGCCAGTCGCACACCTTTAGTTTAGTAAAATACGTCCTGGGCCCATCAAAGTATTCCCATATGAGAGACACACACTAGGATCACTGTGGATGCCTTTGTCACAATATGTATGAGAGACATTGGTTAATGCAAACATCAGCTATAATAAAATCCTCATGCTAATCACTCAGCGAGGGCTCGCCTTTTCTCACAAACATATGAAAAGCAAAATCAAGGCTTGCAGTACCAAGTAAATGAGGTCTGTAGATATTCAATCATGATGGTTCATCACTGCCTCCGCCGGGGGGTGATGTTTTCAGCTGGGCTTGTTAGTTCGTCTGTTAGTTAGTGAGCGACATTCAAAAAGCAATGGGCGGATCTTCATGACATTTTAAGCAAATCTCAGAAACAGGAAAGGAACACATCATCACTTACTTGAAGTGATCCTAGATTTTTTTTACTTTTTTTTCAAGGGAACGGAACCTCTTGGTGGAGGTCTGCGCTCTACAAGTGCTTTTGTAGAACCGTTTATCCTAGCTAGCCACCCATCCATAGAAATATGTTGAAATAAACATGAGAAATGTGGTAGTAGTTGTTCTCAGCAGTTCTCTCTGAGTGGCCAGCCAGGACTGTTGGGGGTAAATTAGACATGTTTCTGAATGAGGGCCCAGTGCTCCTGATCTAAAGTGGTTGAAAAAAGCTAAGAGCACATTTTTCTGAGTAAGGTCAGCGATGGTAGACTTCTGGTAGAAGAGGTTAAAGGCCCATAGTTGTGTTCAGAATAGAGTCCGCTTAGATTTGAGAAATGTCTGGTTTCACAATGAACCTTTTATACAGTACAGAGTAAACAGCTTCCTGAGAGCTTGCCAGCTTACGGTCAAGAACACACAGGCGTCTAGCTAATGTCTCATGATTACTTATGGGGGATTGGACACACTCACTGTACCTATAGGCCTACCAAATGTGTACATGTTTTTGATTTCTTCACACAGTGAGAATACATAAAATTGTTCATATGGTGTCATGAATATCTTCAGAATGAACTCAAGTGTCCAATACAGCTTGAAGAGGCTTGTTATGGTGACCTTAGAGATACTGACGCAGTTAAGGCCTCCCTTACACATGACTTGACCTGAAATTCTATCAAAAATGCAGCTTGGGAAATTGGCAAATCGTGTCTTTGAGGAAGAACAAGGTCATTCCAAAGTATATTACTCTTATTAGTGTAACTTCATGTGTCGTTATCTAAGTAATACAACTGAAATAAACATTGAACCTGTCTCCGTCCCTCTGTTATTATTTTGTGCTGAAGTAATCTCTGAAAATACCAAAGCGTTTCTCAAATGTTTAGAATGAAGGCAACTGTTGATAGAAAAATGTTGTGTATGCCTGTCGACGCTGGAGGTGTGTGGAACCGACTGGTCAGCGTTTCGTAACCAGTTTTGCAGCATTTACTACATACTTGTAAACTTCATGTTCCTGGTTCTTCAATGCTACATCAAATTCGACAGTGGTGGATGTGACTATCTGAGCTAATTTTTCACAGTCTTAGCATTTTTTTTTTTTTTTGGTGGTGCTACACAAATAAAGCATATCACTAATCTAAAAGGGATCTTAAGTCTTTTTCTTGAGCTCTTGCTGTTAGGACAAGTTCATGAAAAAATCGAATACCTCTGTGCCATGACAACATACAGCGTAGTAAGCCTATAGTTCAGATAAAAAAACCTCCATTTTGAGTCCAGAGGGCATCTCCAGATGTTCTACGCCTGGCCGCACATGAATCCTGTTGTTTTGTGGACATTTTGTGGACATGAGCAGCATATTTCTTTCCCATTTACCATCTGTTCTGATGTGACTAATGTGATACAGACTTACAGTAGATATGTCTTCGTACAATTCACCTCAACTCCGTTAAAACAAGTTCTTTAAGTGATGTGAGGTCTATCCCTACAAACTTTGGCCTCTTCCCTAAAGGTGAGTGTTATTACTTTGGGCATTATAAATTAGTCCTTAACAAACTCTTGACAATCAATATGTTGCTTGTTTTACGTTTAAACCTTGAAGTTCTTGTATTGTTTTGCAGTAGTCATGTCAGGGCAAGAATACAGATGACTTCTCTCATGAACACTTCTCCAGACGTGGTCCTGGATATACAGTATGTAGTTGTGAAAGCTAAAACAAGTCTGAAAATGATTTACCAACTAATGTGAGGTTGCAATGTTGAAAAATGTATTGGGAAGTTGGAATTCATTGTAAAATTGTGTGAGCAGACATCATTTTAAAGTAAGGCATGGATATAAAATACATTTATAGATCTCGAATCTGTAATGTGAAACAAATTATGTGGTTAAAAGCTATTTTATTTAAACATGTTCTAAATGTAAAGAATTCGGAGCAATTATCTTAAGTTGGTCAAATATGACAAGAGGTTTCTGTGAGAAGTGTCGGCTGCTTCTCTGACCGCTGTGCTCCATAAAAGTTATAAAAACGGTTTGAGGATTGAAATGATAAAAACACTGGTGTCACTGAGATCAGATAAACCCAAACGTCTTTCCTCAGTGCTCCTTTCATTCGGTCTTGGTGAGACCGTTTTACGGCATATCAAATCTAATGCAGGCAACAAAACTCAATCATGCATTTTATGTTTTTTCCCCCCAAAATGTTGCAGAGTTAGAAACATTATGTGCCCAGTGTTTTTCTAAATCAAACCATTAACTGTTGGTAAAGTGACCGTGGAACATTGCCACAGAAGCTTAAGGCCGTGCAGGACTTTGTGCAGAGAGAAATCCGACAAAGCCATTTTCTCCAAAACAGACATGCATCTGATCCAAAACTCACATGTGTGCTAAGAACACCTGAGGATGCCCCCTGGAGGTCAGAGAAGTACACAATCTCTAGTAATATTTTACTTTCACTGTTGAACTGACAGTCAGTCCAGAGGTGAAGTCAGTAAAGGGCTTTTGTTTGCAGAGTAAACTCCTGAATGACACTGTGAGAAAGATGCGAGTGCACTGAACGACTGTTGGGATCTAGAATAAGGACTCAAAACAACACAAAATCAATGTTCTTCCCCCGAAGAAAAGCTGTGACCTGCTTTGTCTCAAGGTGTGAACTCTAAGGGAAAATAGTTTGATTTTGTCTATTCTAATTCCCACATGATGTGGCCATGGTAGGATGTATCTGCACATATTCAATTGCTCTTCTGGCAGAAAGAACATGGAAACCAAGGAGAAAACTGCTATTCTCTGATGCTTTACAGCCAGATGAGGTTTTGTTGTCAGCAGAAATGTTATTTACATGGTTTTTATATGTACAATAGAGAATCTCCCAGAGATGTTCGGTAAAGCTGCAATGGGTACTCCTCTCACGACTGAAAGTCCTCTAATGAAGAGTTCCTGGCCTTGGTGACCCTGGTCATTAAAATAACATCTTCAGTTCAAACCTCGTCTATGGCATGAGCATACTATGAACAGCAAAGTAACTTTCCTAAAACATTTTTAAAATAAAACATCAGGACATTATGGTTCTTTGTCATCACATCTTTTCATCAAGGAATATGATGAGAATTAAATGAACTGTAGAACCAAGGTGTTTTTCTTCAAATAGTTAATCCCAGTGAGTTGCGTTGTTTTCTTATGTTCCAAAATCTTCTACACTTGAGTGCATTAGCCTGGGTGAGATCCTGGTAGTTGGAGGAGCAGGGACAGACGGTGGATGTGGTGAAGTCTGGGTTTGGGGGCTCTCAGTGAAGGCGCTGCACCCCGTATCGCGGCTCTCTTCTGTCCCGGACCTCGATCTGCACACCACAAGAGCAGAACACAAGCCATATTTATTATATTCACTTTTATTAACATTAGCATTCACCTGAAACTATTAGTATGGTTAGAATTACTGAAACACTTAACCCAGTCCAGTGTTCTTGTCTGCCTCTGCATTATTTTTTTCTATTCAACGGTTCTCAATTCACCATGCTTCCTTTATTCAAATGTTGAAATCCCTGTACATCTGTTTTTAATGCACCATACATACACAACTGTTTTTAATGCACCATACATACACAACTGTTTTTAATGCACCATACATACACAACTGTTTTTAATGCACCATACATACACAACTGTTTTTAATGCACCACACATACACAACTGTTTTTAATGCACCATACATACACAACTGTTTTAATGCACCATACACACACAACTGTTTTTAATGCACCATACACACACATACACAACTGTTTTAATGCACCATACACACACAACTGTTTTTAATGCACCATACACACACATACACAACTGTTTTAATGCACCATACACACACATACACAACTGTTTTTAATGCACCATACACACACATACACAACTGTTTTTAATGCACCATACATACACAACTGTTTTTAATGCACCATACACACACATACACAACTGTTTTTAATGCACCATACACACACATACACAACTGTTTTTAATGCACCATACATACACAACTGTTTTTAATGCACCATACACACACATACACAACTGTTTTTAATGCACCGTACACACACATACACAACTGTTTTTAATGCACCATACACACACAACTGTTTTTAATGCACCATACACACACATACACAACTGTTTTTAATGCACCATACATACACAACTGTTTTTAATGCACCATACACACACATACACAACTGTTTTTAATGCACCATACACACACATACACAACTGTTTTTAATGCACCATACACACACATACACAACTGTTTTTAATGCACCATACATACACAACTGTTTTTAATGCACCATACACACACATACACAACTGTTTTTAATGCACCGTACACACACATACACAACTGTTTTTAATGCACCATACACACACAACTGTTTTTAATGCACCATACACACACATACACAACTGTTTTAATGCACCATACACACACATACACAACTGTTTTTAATGCACCATACACACACAACTGTTTTTAATGCACCATACACACACATACACAACTGTTTTTAATGCACCATACACACATACACAACTGTTTTTAATGCACCATACACACACAACTGTTTTTAATGCACCATACACACACATACACAACTGTTTTTAATGCACCATACACACACATACACAACTGTTTTTAATGCACCATACACACACAACTGTTTTTAATGCACCATACACACACATACACAACTGTTTTAATGCACCATACACACACATACACAACTGTTTTTAATGCACCATACACACACATACACAACTGTTTTTAATGCACACATACATACACAACTGTTTTTAATGCACCATACATACACAACTGTTTTTAATGCACCATACACACACAACTGTTTTTAATGCACCATACACACACATACACAACTGTTTTTAATGCACCATACACACACATACACAACTGTTTTTAATGCACCATACATACACAACTGTTTTTAATGCACCATGCACCATACATACACAACTGTTTTTAATGCACCGTACACACACATACACAACTGTTTTTAATGCACCGTACACACACATACACAACTGTTTTTAATGCACCGTACACACACATACACAACTGTTTTTAATGCACCGTACACACACATATACAACTGTTTAGTGCACTGTTGTGACTGCACTTTAAATGAAGCACCAAACTTTTCCCAAACTGTCTTTTCTAATATATATATTTTTTAACCCGTTATATCCACGGACTGCAGGATAAATAGTTCTCGTTTTTCACGGTTAATTTATTGTAAATGCTTAAATTTTGTTTGTGCATTGCTGTTCACCTGGTGTCCCTCTCTCTGTTTCATGAAGCGCTGGTGGGACTCGAAACCCTGACTCCCTGGACCCTAGGACTGGTCCACAGCCGTTGGGAGTTGGCGGTTCTGTGAGACTCCCGTTTGAGACGACTGTTGTTGTGATTTTGGGCGATACAAATAAAATTGATTTAATTTGATTTGCTGCTACGATAAGCCTACAGAAAGAAAGTAGCCGTCTCTTCTGGCAAATGAACCACACAGTAAAGTTTGTTTTTATTTAGATTTTCAATAACTACTGAAACATACAGTAGTTATTCCTCCTGGGGTCTACGCACTCATCAATGTCACGCTGACATGAAAATGGACACAAACGAATGAACAAACAAAATCTTAAAAGTTTACTCACCCTCGACACGGCAAAGTCTGCAAGAGAAACACAGACAGAAAACTATTAAATATTGCATAGTTTTGCATAATGTTTACAGACGTTTTTATACAACTTCCAGTCTCCGCTAAAACCATCATTCCTGTTCTATGTGCTTTTGAAGTTTCTCGTGAAATGACCCTAAAATCCGACAGAGCTGGTGATATCTTGCGTTGCGTGTGTGAAATGACGGCGCCTGTCAGTGAGGTTAATCAGATGAGAAGCAAAGACACGCCCACGCTCTGGAATATCTCCAGTTACTATGGAAACCATCACAGAGAGAGACTGTCGGAGGAGCGAGACATCTTATGTCACTGTTCTGCTGCTCTCTTCCTCCGTCTCTGAGCTGCTGTATCTCTGTTTTCTACATGAACACAGTGTCAAGTCAAACACATGATTCTGCTGTAAGCCCTTTTCCGCCACACTCTTTTGGCTTTTCTCTGCGCTCCTGTTGTCTGTTCCACTCGAATTGCCTCTTTTTTTGCACAGCTGAAACAATGGGATTGGAGAGTCCTGATGCAAGAGGCTGAAACTGTCAGCGTGCTCCCAGGACTCCCCTCCGCTCCTCCAGAGCTCTCAGCAGCACTCAGGGCCGTTTGGCTGGAGTCAGGTGAGGCCTGAGCACTGTCACATTCACCACAACAAAGACCAGCTGCTTCTGACTGTAGAGGGCGCCAAAAACAAGAGAAGAAACCCTCCATATTAAAGGAGCAACGTGTAAGATTTTTCATGTCAAGTCGTCATTAAAGGGCCCTAATCTGTTCCAAGACATTAATAAAACCTGTTCTTTTCCAATACTTCTTTAACTAATAGCATTAGTTCAGAGATATTTGAATTTCTAAATTACTTTTACAGCCCCCAAATCTTGTTCTTGTTTTCATTTCGATGTCCCGCCCTGTCTGTGATCCGGGTTGCCAGAACTCACTGCGTCGAGCTAATCTCACTGGTAAAATACCATGTGACAAATCCGGGAATAAAACCAGGATTTTTACATATTACTCCTTTAAATGTAAATAGGAGGATGTTCCCAAATTTTAAGAAAGAACCGCCCTCTCCACTTTTTGAACTAAACTTTCTGGTCTCTGGTCCAGAGACAATTGGGAGGACCAATAGTCTTGATGATCCACCGGGAAGTGGAAAATCTTGCTATATACTGTACCTTCATAGCCTTCTCAACTCATATTTACTGTTTGATCATCAATATAACATTTGACAGTATAGTAATGTTAAGTTTTGCCCTCCCATACACCACTACTTTAGCTTTAACTTGGAAAAAACTTTATTGGGGTTTAAGTGAAATCCTTGACTCTCCTCCTGATGTCTTCAATAGTTTGTCGACATCACCTTTGTTGTCTGTCTGCAGGTCATCCAGGTAGAAGTCCGTCTGGCGGTTTCCCAAGACAAAGGCCAAGAAGGACAGAATGAGGGCGTCCAGGATGCCCATGATGGCCAGCATGTAGGCCCAGCGCACGGAGCAGTCGCCCAGCGAGTACTTCCCTGTCTGCTCCCCACACATGTCTCGAATCACCTCTGCGTCCCAGCCGTCTGGGAAAATCATGCAGCCCAACACCAGGCACACTCCTGCGGGGATGAAAAAGATCCCATTAGAGATTGGGTTAGGGTTAGGGCTGTTTGATGTCGGTATAGTTAGAGTAGTATGAAGGTTGCATGAAAGTTTGGGATGGCTTTGTTCCTGTGAAAGGGTTTAAAGTGTCACGTGGTGGAAATGCAGGAAGGACCCAAAATGCAGGAATGCCAAAAAATATTATTTAATGATAATAAAATAAAAGTCCAAAGGCTCAAAAAGAATCAAGGAAACCGGAACAGACAAGGACAAGACGAAGGTTGACAATACAATGGACTAGCAACAAGGGGAGAGAAGCACAGGGTACATATAGACACAGAGAGACACAGGTGAAACACATCAGGGCGGGGCAGACAATCAAGACAGGGGCAAACAGGACAGGAAGTACAACTAAAACCAAACCACAGAGAACAATGTCAAAATAAAACTAAAATACAAAAATAAAACCCACACCATGACAGTACCCCCCCTCCAAGGGACAGCTCCCAGATGTCCCAAAAAACCAAACACACACCAGGGAGGGTGGAGGGGGCACGGCGGAGGGACCAAAGGCAGTTCAGAGGCTGAAAACCTCATGTCCGAAGCAATGTCCAAACCAATCTGGGACCGGAGCTGAAGCCCAGTGATTACCTTCCATACGGAACTGGCTCACCCCGGGCGGAGACAAATGCCCAGCGGTGACACAGACGGGAACAAAACCACCCCAGACGGAGAACAATGTCTGGCGGTGGAAACAGGTAAAGGGAAGGAGAGGTCATCAAAGGGGAGCAGGCAGACACTGGTGGGGAATCCAGGCAGACGGGAACATCCAGACGAGAGCTTCACTGTTGACCCCACAACAAGCCAAGGGGAAGGGAACAGAAGACCACCCCGGACGGACAATAATGCCCGGCGGTGGTGCAGGACAAATAACCACCCCAGGCGGGGTTGGCGGTGGTTTAAGGTAGCAGGTTGAGAGGTAGCAGTGAAGGGAAGGATATCCGCAAAAAATAAATAAAAACCTGGTGACAAACAGGGAGCCGGTGTGGTGAAAAAATAAAACAGGCATTCCGCTGAGTCCGTGTGATGGCTAGTCCATTCTGTCACGTGGTGGAAATGCAGGAAGGACCCAAAATGCAGGAATGCCAAAAAATATTATTTAATAGTGATGGGTCCAGCAACACTGATACACCGGCGCATGTGCCGAGTTCGTTTAGCGAAACCTCGTATCGGCGCGCGTGTCGCTTTATGAAAAAGCCACGTGACCAATACAGCCGCAGTGTCGCTTGTCACCAACACGGCAAACTGTGTTTAAAAGGTTCCGCATCTGCAAGTGTCACCGGTATGAACCGCTCTCAGAAAAAGAAAATAACCCTTTCAAAAAGGAAAAGCATCCCATTTTACAGCATTAAAAAATGGAACCTGCCACTAAAAGAAAGTATTCTGCAGTGTGATACTGCAAATAACAGCAAATAAGGCAATGTTTGTATTTTACATTTCACGCTGTATCTACAATCCAGCTTTAGTTTGAAATGCAAAATCTAGTTAGGCATGGTGGATGAGTGGATAGCGCTCTCGCCTCGCGTTTGAGAGAACTGGGTACGAATCCCTGTCGAACCTCAAAAGTTTATGTTGACATCACAGTCTTGAAGAATAATTTTGAGACATTGAAGTGCAGAAAATGTCAAAGGTTTTTTCAAGTATACTTTAGTTGCCAGGGTTTACAGTGCACTTTGGACATGCTTATTGTTTTGAAAAAAATAAAAATAAAATAAAAACATCACTCAATGACATTTTGCTTAATGAATACATTCACAACTATCACTTTAATTTTCACATAAAATAAAATAACACAGACAATGCAGTTACGTAATATTGTGTGCAGACAAGTATGTAAAGCTCATTGAATCAGTGAGTTGGATGCAATGATTTATCAGATCCACCAGGTGTCAGTATAGAGCAGCACAAGCAACACTGTTGCGGCACAGTATCAACACAGTTTGTTGGATGTGCCGAAACGATACGTGAGGTTTCATTTACCCATCACTATTATTTAATGATAATAAAATAAAAGTCCAAAGGCTCAAAAAGAATCAAGGAAACCGGAACAGACAAGGACAAGACGAAGGTTGACAATACAATGGACTAGCAACAAGGGGAGAGAAGCACAGGGTACATATAGACACAGAGAGACACAGGTGAAACACATCAGGGCGGGGCAGACAATCAAGACAGGGGCAAACAGGACAGGAAGTACAACTAAAACCAAACCACAGAGAACAATGTCAAAATAAAACTAAAATACAAAAATAAAACCCACACCATGACATAAAGGATGGGTGTTTGGTTTTGAGTTGTCCTTCGGCGGCATGGTGGCTCTCGCCTCTCAGCAAGAAGGTCCTGGGTTCGAATCCCGGTCGGACCAGGGCCTTTCTGAGTGGAGTTTGCATGTTCTCCTCGTGTCTGCGTAGGTTTCCTCCGGGTACTCCGGTTTCCCCTACAACTAAAAATATGTACAATAGTTCTGGCATGTGCCTCCTGTTCGGCGACCCCACTCCCATCTCTGTGTGGAGTGAGAGACAAATGCCCAAAAAAATAATAACAATTGTAAACCGCTTTGTGACCCTTGTCTGTGAATGGCGGTATATAAATAAACATTACTTACTTACTTACTTCAACCCTCTGACTGCGATGGATACTACGTCTTATGCAGTTTATATATTCAGGAACACAACAGTCATGAAAACAAACTCATGTGCAGTAGTGTTAACAGTATTATTATCTAGCAGCCCGAAGATCTAAACGTCTATACACAAATTTTTCCACGTTTACAATAGTTTCAGGCAGTTACCCAAAGCATGAACCCTCAACAACAAGAATGTATTAACCACAGAAATGATTGTAGTGAACCCAATACCAGTGAGACGACACTCCCAGTTCATGGACACAGCACTAAACCATGCATCTCTAAAAGGTTTTGTGTATTATATTGAACATAACATTGTGTTTGAGTTGAACTTTTGTAACCGGAGACTTTGGAGGTCATTTCTTTGTGTCGCTCTTTCTCTCTGAGCGGTTTTCTGTAGAGGTTGTTAAAGGTTCAATATAAAACCAAATGTTCAAACAAAATAGCTTTTTTTGAATAACCTTTTTACTGCTTGTTGGGATCTGCACAGATTTTCAGCGTCCCAATATGCAGTTGTTACATAGAAAATAATAAACATGCTGACAGCATCCTATATCCTGCTCTGCAGTAGAACGGACGCCTCTGGAGAAATGCAAACATGCGATGTTGATGCTACAACAGAAAAGGTAATCTATACTGTCCCCCTGCGCTCATTCATCACAGCACAGCGCTCCAGGGAGCTGATGGAGCCGGATTCTGTTTATGTGGACTGCAGTGGACTGAGGCCGTCAGCACCAGGGTCCAGGACCTGACTTGGTCTCCGGCTTCTGGAGCACATCACAACATCATCTGACACCGAACACTGCGGAGCACGCTCTGGGCTTCCAACATGAGGACATCTTTACCTTAAAATACAGGCTGCACTATTTTAGTCTCATTTCAAGCAAACGGCGCTCAATATTTTGTTGTTATGAGATGTCAATACAGAGCAACATCTTCTCCCCAAGACCAGTCTGATAATATTCTGTGCACTAACTAGATCATTATCATCTTTTGTAAGACAACGATAACTGCTAAGCTTGTCATTTATAACCCTCAAACTGTGATTGTTGTTCAGGTTTAGGACTCTATTAAAGCTGGAATAATGCAGTAGCAATGTGCGGCCCCAGATCGACTCCTGCCTGTCTTCATTTGCTTTTGTCTTGAATACTTTCAATTATTATGGATGGGCTCTATCGAAGCCAAAGGCCAATGAATCGCTAATGCTGATTATGGAGACACTCTTCCAGGAAATCCCAGACTCAATAAGTTTGGTTGGTGCGGTGCCAGCCGGAGACGCATCCATCAAAAATCCATAAACCACGCTACCTGATTCACATTAACGTAATATTGTCTTAATTTATTCTTTATTCTTCATCCATGTTCCAGTCTCATACACAGGTCATAAAAGCAGCTCCTAATAATACGCTGATTTCCCTCAAGATTACTTCCATTGCATTTCTATTCTCTCATTACTTACAGTATGATGGCTATTAGAGATTCTCATTAGAATCTCATTATGTGAAATCGTTTTGGAGAAGGGCAGTTTTCATATCTCCGCTTGGAATGAGACTTGTAATATATTCGCACACACATGCTATTATTGCTAATGTTAATGTTGCGTCCATCCCGGAATCTAGCGTGAGTCCGCCGCCCACATCCTCTCAGTGATGGATGGGCTGTGGGCGCAGAGAGGGTCTTCTGAGGGAACCTTATGACTAATGGAAGTGCACTGTAACACATTCTACTACACCACAAGCAGTCTTTTGTGCAAATTAATAAAAGAAAGTCAACCACCTTTCTATGTCACACTACAATTCAAGTTTATGTAAACAGGGCATCGTGATCTTGGTAGCTCCCTCCCTTTTATAACAGTAATGTAGGGGCCTGGGAAGCAAGGAACTTCCTACACCATCTGCGTCAGACATCTGAAGCTAAGAAGCGCAGGGCCTGGTTGGTTCTGTGATGGGAGACCTCTGATGTTCACCCGGTGCCACGGTGAAGTGGCTGCGGGTGAAAAGTGCCAAATTGTCTGAGTCTGGTGTGTGATTGAATGGTTGGTCACGTCGCTTCTGTCGGTGTGTCTCAGGGCATCTGTGGCTACATTATTAGTTCATTAAACCGTATATGGTGTGAATGAATAATACCAAGTGAAGCGTCTTTGATTGTCCAAAAAAGCGCTTTATAAAACCAATGCATTATTATTAAAATCACACATTCATTCACCAGTTTACACAGACACTGGGAGAAAAAATGGTTCAGTCACTAACGGGAGCTGGTTTCACACCTGCAGGTCAGTCGATCTGACGGCTCAATTATTTATATTATATATATATATATATACATATATCCTGGCCAGAACCAGGAAGTACAATCACATTAGTCCAGTTCTCAGGTCTCTGTTTCCTGTGGCTCAGAGAATAGACTTTAGATCACCTCTGTTTGTTACAAGTCTCTCCATGGCCTCGCACCAAATGAATCAACTCGGAGCACAGGGACTGGCCTGCTGCTGGGACTTTGAGGAGCACAGGGACTGGCCTGCTGCTGGGACTTTGAGGAGCACAGGGAGTGGCCTCCTGCTGGGACTTTGAGGAGCACAGGGACTGGCCTCCTGCTGGGACTTCGAGGAGCACAGGGACTGGCCTCCTGCTGGGACTCTGAGGAGCACAGGGACAGGCCTCCTGCTGGGACTTTGAGGAGCACAGGGACTGGCCTCCTGCTGGGACTCTGAGGAGCACAGGGACTGACCTCCTGCTGGTACTTTGAGGAGCACAGGGACTGGCCTCCTGCTGGTACTTTGAGGAGTACAGAGACTGGCCTGCTGGGACTCTGAAGAGCAGGAGCACAGGGACTGGCCTCCTGCTGGGACTCTGTCAGGAGCAGGACCGAACCTCCAACCTCAATCTGAGCTACTAGCACCTGATTGCACCTATTCTCACTGCAGCCCTTAGCAAAGCCATTTCCTGTTTAATTAGAATTCACAACGACAGAAATAAAAACACACTTTGTTCAATAAATTCTTGGGAGCCATTCTATATTTCTACAAAACAAAAATTGATGTTTTGTCCGGGGCTGTTTCTGCCTTAATCTCTTCATCTCCTTTGGGTTGTGGACTCCCTCGATCTAAAAATAGCCCATATGTCTCATACTACAACAGTGCAGGGCTCCTCTCCTCTGGGCTCTGCTGCCTGCTTCAGTCTGAGAGGAAGTTCAAACACATAGAGGAGGGCACAAGGAGGTGTGGAGGAGGCAGAAGGAGGGTACAAGGAGGTGTGGAGGAGGCAGGGGGAGGGTACAAGGAGGTGTGGAGGAGGCAGAGGGTGGGTACAAGGAGGTGTGGAGGAGGCAGGGGTGGGTACAAGGAGGTGTGGAGGAGGCAGGGGGAGAGCACAAGGAGGTGTGGAGGAGGCAGGGGTGGGTACAAGGAGGTGTGGAGGAGGCAGAGGGAGAGCACAAGGAGGTGTGGAGGAGGCAGGGGTGGGTACAAGGAGGTGTGGAGGAGGCAGGGGGAGGGTACAAGGAGGTGTGGAGGAGGCAGAGGGAGGGTACAAGGAGGTGTGGAGGAGGCAGGGGGAGGGTACAAGGAGGTGTGGAGGAGGCAGAGGGAGGGTACAAGGAGGTGTGGAGGAGGCAGGGGGAGGGTACAAGGAGGTGTGGAGGAGGCAGGGGGAGAGCACAAGGAGGTGTGGAGGAGGCAGAGGGAGAGCACAAGGAGGTGTGGAGGAGGCAGAGGGAGGGTACAAGGAGGTGTGGAGGAGGCAGAGGGAGGGTACAAGGAGGTGTGGAGGAGGCAGGGGTGGGTACAAGGAGGTGTGGAGGAGGCAGAGGGAGGGTACAAGGAGGTGTGGAGGAGGCAGGGGGAGGGTACAAGGAGGTGTGGAGGAGGCAGGGGGAGAGCACAAGGAGGTGTGGAGGAGGCAGAGGGAGAGCACAAGGAGGTGTGGAGGAGGCAGAGGGAGGGTACAAGGAGGTGTGGAGGAGGCAGAGGGTGGGTACAAGGAGGTGTGGAGGAGGCAGGGGTGGGTACAAGGAGGTGTGGAGGAGGCAGAGGGAGGGTACAAGGAGGTGTGGAGGAGGCAGGGGGAGGGTACAAGGAGGTGTGGAGGAGGCAGGGGGAGAGCACAAGGAGGTGTGGAGGAGGCAGAGGGAGAGTACAAGGAGGTGTGGAGGAGGCAGGGGGAGGGTACAAGGAGGTGTGGAGGAGTCTTTCAATCCCCAATAACTATTTGTCATGTTACACTGCCAAAAAATGGTAAAATATAGCAAAGTAATAAATGCTCAAATCAATACTAATAATACATTTTATTTAAAAGCGCCTTTCAAAAGAGGCCAAGGACACGGTACAAACATGGTTAAAAACATAGCATTGTTAAAAATAGAAAACAGCAGAACTGGAAAAAGATGTTGCACACAATAAAAGCCACAGTCATATAATAATAATAATGCATCAGTTTTATATAGCGCTTTTCTGGACACTCAAAGACGCTTCACATGTGTCATTATTCATTCACTCCATACATGGTGGTGATAAACTACTACAGTAGCCACAGCTGCCCTGGGGCACACTGACAGAAGCGAGGCAACCAGTCTGTGCCTTCAGCCCCTCCCACCACCACCAACCATTCACACACACACCAGACTCATTCTAGGCAATGGGGGTGAAGTGTCTTGCCTAAGGACACAACAGCAGTTTGGCACTTTACAGCCGCAGCCGCCCCACTGTGGCAGGTGTTCCCAGAGGTTGCCCAAGGACACAAAGACAGCAGACAGTGGGAGTCAGTGTAGTAAGTAATCATTATTTATATACCGCCTTTTCACTGCAGATCTGAGTCTCAAAGCGGTTTACAATTGTTAATTTTTGGGCATTTGTCTCTCACTCCACACAGAGATGGGAGCGGGGCCAGTACAGGAGGTGCATGCCAGAACTATTGGACACATTTTTAGTGGTAGGGGAAACCGGAGTACCCGGAGGAAACCTACACAGACCTACGGGGAGAACATGCAAACTCCACTCAGAAAGGCCCTGGTCTGACCGGGATTCGAACCCAGGACCTTTTTGCTGAGAGGCGAGAGTGCTATCCACTCAGCCACCCACAGTGGAGAAAGTCTTGTGGTGGGCTCAAACCCACGACCTTCTTGCTCAAAGGCCAATGCTCTACCAACTGAGCTACAGTCGCCTTATATTCCAATCATCCAAATTTAGTTGTTTATGTGCTCTGGTGCTAACTCTGGTGCTAGCTCCGGTGCTATACTCTGCGCGGTGGTGAGTTCTCGGATGTTTGAGCAAGTTTATGGTGTTATAGATGTTTGTTTTGGACTCACCTCGTGACAATTTTACACAACGTACACTCGCTTTACTCTTGTCACTCGTTTACTTTCGAGATCACCATGGCAACACTGCTGTCTGCTGTCATGGCGCTAATGTAAATGAAAAATGTGGATATCGGGTCTTATGGTTTGAGCACGAGTACGGGTACAAGCCTATGGTATCGACCCAATACCCGGTACCGTGCATCCGTACATACAGTATCAGGGATGAAGTGATTAGAAACTAAAGAATGGTTCAGAAGTACAAATATGATGTTTGTGGTTGTCAATGTTTGAGAAGTTCAGGGGGTATGAAGACATTTACAAGACACTGTGTTTAATCATTGCTCTCATTGATCGCCGCCCGTCTCTGGTCTATCAAATCAAAGCTCATCCAACAAGTACGAACATTGTTGGAAAAAAATAATTGACCGGGCACGTTATTTATAACTGTTTGGCTTATTTATAAAGTCATTACATAAGAATTGTGTCAGACTTTCTTATGTGCATGTCCACACACATCTTGTTTCATTTGAGCCTAACGCGGTTACATAAGTGTTCCCGAAATATCACCGGAGTGCTATATATGATGTGTGCAATGTATTCGGGATCAGAGCCACTTCAGAATAGACTGCGTTCTGAGGATGTATCGTAAACCGGAGCCGTGCAGGGTGGATAGGGGAGATTTAATGTGTAAAACAATGTTATGTTGTATGGACAAATAATGCGAAGATTAGTCCTAAACCACAGCTTACTTTAGACAAGAAATTGATCCTGCATTTAAAGTTTCTACAGGTGAAACTCCAGAAACTCCGCCGATTAGCTCATTAAAAAGTCCATTTTACTTCTATAGTTCCACTTACAATGTAAAACTAATATATGACAAGACCCAGAAAGACAGTGAGATAAACCATAAACTATATTTGTTATAAAAGAAAATTATACGTAAAAATACCAACATCATTAAATTAAGTAACAAGCAATGTGTATTTCTCTTTGGCTGTAGTTGCCATGCAAAAACCAGAGCCTGTCAGACCTCTGAAGCAGGGCAGGGCCTGGTTAGTGCTGTGATGGGAGACCTCTAGGAACACCTGATGTCACAGTGGGGCGGCTGCGGCTGTAAAGTGCAAACTGTGGTTGTGTCTATAGGCAAGACACTTCTCCCACATTAAAATGAGTCTGGTGTGAATGGTTGGTGGTGGTCAGAGAGGCTGATGGCACAGACTGGCTGTCTCGCTTCTGTCAGTGTGCCCCAGGGCAGCTGTGGCTACAGTAGTAGTTTATCACCACTGTTTATGGAGTGAATGAATAATGACTTTGAGGGTCATGAAAAGCGCTGCATAAAACCGATGCGTTATTATAATTGTTTGCATGTAATGAGTCAATATCATATGTTTGTTTCACATTTTAAGTTGTGATACAAAAATAAATTAACTTTTGAATAAAATAAATATGATTACTATTTTTTTATTTTGTACAATTATACATGCAATACATATGCCATGTACCGTTAATCTAGAAATAGTGATGAACCAAAGGGCTGCACAGGCAGACACTCATACACTCATAAAACTTTACACATTTGGGGGTTTCCTCTGTGCTTGTTTGTCAGTTATCTTTTTAGAAGTCTTCCTCTCAAGCCCAAAGCCCAACAACAAGGCTATTTTTATCCGTGGGTAACCTCCCGTGGCAGCTCCAGTCCCCGGCTCACCTCAGCCAGACACAGCGCGGCAGAGTGGAAAGGTGTCAACATGCCCACATTAGGAACCCCCACGTCCACTCTCTAACGTAATAACAGAGTCCGAACCGGAGGTGAGGCTTCCATCAGTCTAATGGAGGCTGCTTTTGGGTGGAAGAAGCAGTGGGATGGACGAGACGGCGTGAATGACGCTGAGGGGAGACTTTACACCGCCCCCGGCTCCAGGGTTCACTGCTCTACTTGGCATGGAGCGCCTAAACCCAGGATGTCCTTCGATCCGCCCGTCTTATCGCTGCATCTTATTTTTAGCTAGGTGTTTCTTGCACTCATATATTAGCATACATTAAAACTTGGGTGGAGGCCAAATGCTACAATTCACTCCATAGCAAAGTATATGAAGCTTATGGGGTTTAGAGGCATCAACAGATGCCAACAAACCATGGCTCCTGTAAGTTTTTCTCTCTTTTCAAGCTGTTCCACAAGTGACAGAAACAATAAACACCAAACAACAACAATAAATGAACGTAAATAATTGAAAAACAGAAGCAAACTAAAGAACTACAGAAGTAAATACTTAAAAATGAAAATACTTTACGCTATCACAGTGCAGTTTCAGAATAGTAATAAATTAAGAGCCTTGGTATATTTGTCATGATTAAGTTGACTCATTTGTGTGTTTACATGTATGTAAAAGCCTGATTCTGTCAGACTACAGAGGCTAAGCAGGACAGGGCTTGGTTAGTACTGCGATGGTAGACCTCTGGGAACATCTCACAGTGGGATGGCTGTGAAGGTAAAGTGTTAAACTCTATGCAATCCTTATCCTTATACTTGACACTTCACCCAAGTCTCATGTATTGTATGTGTGTGGTTGGTTGGTTGGTTCAGAATCCAGTCTACCCCAGGCCCACTGTGGGTGTAGAGCTAGCCACCTCTGTGAATGAATAATGCAATGTCTTTAGAATGTCCAAAAAGAGAGCTATCACACCATCTATCCATTTTCTCCCCCTTATTCCATTTATAGGTCGGGGGGCAGTAGGCAGAGCTCCTGAGTCCACAGGAGCCTTGATCTTCCAGCGGGGGCTTCGGGCAAGGTGGGGTAAAGTATCTTGCCCAAGGACACAACAACAGCAGACACCAGTGGGAGTCTTGAAGTAGGTCTTGTGGTGGACTCGAACCCACAACATTCAGGCCCAAAGGCCAATGCCCTACCTACTGAGCCACTGTCGCCTCGCTATCATACCAATGACCACAATAAACGAGCAATTATTATGTATTGTATCTTTTGAATTCGAGGCAACAGTTGGCTCAGTTGGTAAAGCATCTGCTTTTGAGCTTGGAGGTCATGGGTTCAATCCCCCCATGAGACCTGCGCAAACTCATGCCTGCTGTCATTGTGTCCTCAGGCAAAACACTTAACCCCAAGTTGCCCAAACCCCCCGGGGGAAGAACAAGGCTGTGTCACCCTAACCCACCACCTGCAGAAGGATCATTGAGGGACTGGTGCTATGAGAATTGGGTGCAGCTCTCATTGCCTCACCCCAACCCAGAAATGGACTTATAAAGGGGTAGAAAATTAATTAATGAATCTTTTGAATGCTACAGGACACTGAAGATAAGGCAGTGCATAATTCAGCTTAGCGCAGAGCAAATGCAACCACTCTCCTTGGGGTTTATATTACACTAACATTATGGCCTCAGAGCTCACCTTAATGTCAGCGAGCAGCATCACGGGTTCATGACTCACAATTGTGGCCTTTTGAATGCTGGCGGGCTTTTGGTAAATAACATCAACATCATCCAAGCAAAAGACAATGCTGCCCGCCTCTTTCTGCACATACAGTAGCGCAATATGTGGGCGTCAGGTGTTCCCTTCTACTACATTCAAAATACACAAACATCTCTTCAAGATTGAAATGCCATACTCTTTGGTTGTCACTATGTACATGTTATTATTCAACCAACAGAGAGCCACAATGAATACTTGGTGATCAAACAGCTCATTGTGTTGCAAAGTATAGAGCTGTCTATCAGGCACTGTGAAGGTGGAACTGGAGAAAGGGGTATGAGAAATGTGTTCGCTACGATTCTTGCATTTAGTGGAAAAAATTGCATTGAAGAGAAAGCATTGCAAACCTGTTCTTACAGTGCACCAGGAGAGGAAGCTATACAGTCGTTCTGCTAATTGCAAAATAACACAAAACACCACACTGATTGTTTAAAGTAGCAATGTGTAAGATAATCCTCTCAAGTCATTATTAAAGGGCCCTAATCTGTCCAAAGGCATTAATAAAACATGCTCTTTTCCAATACTTCTTTAACTGAAAACAGTAGTTCAGAGATATTTGGATTTCAAAATCAGTTTTACTGCCTCTAAATCTTGTTATTGTTTTCATTTCGATGTCCCGCCCTCCACCGTTCCACCAATCAGAAAGTCTGTGATCCGGGTTGCCAGAACTCACTGCGTCGAGCTAATCTCACTGGTAAAGTACCATGTGGCGCAGAACTAAAAAAGGTCTCGTTATGATTCTAAAATCATTAACGACAAAACAAGGAATAAAACCAGGATTTCTATCTTTGTGAAAAAGGTGTTGGTTATAGATTTGTTGTTGACAAAACTCTTGTCTATTCAGCTTTATGGTCCCAGCTGGATTTGTTTGCATATCTGGCAACCTGAGTCAGGGAGAGGTTGCTGTACCACTTTTGGCCAGATTTTTACATACTGCAAATCAAAGTATTTTCTCATTTGTCCACGATGCATCGTGTTCAGTGGCTGCGGGACGTCTCTCCACCTCTCACGCTGTGACAATGCCATTGCGAGGGGGTCAAAGGAATCCATTATTCAGCTGCAAGTCTATTTATGGTAACACCCCAGTGACTTTGGAATTATTTATTAAGTAGCTGATAATTAAAATATGGCTGTTTGGAGGGAAGAGCAGAAGGCAGAAATCTCGACTGTGAAGGGGCGAGTGAATGAGTGAGCTGGGAGATCCCTGGAGAAACGTTCTCCCTTTGTGTGCTATATATAACTCTGAGCATTGCAGCATGGAGAAGCGCACGTGTGCTTTCATCCACATACGTGCACTGGCACACATATGATGGGCACACAAGCGTCGGCAATGCAGCGAGAGGGGGAGACCAGGAACCCCCAAAAACACAAGATTAATGAGAAGTCCCAGTGAAAAGGAATTCAGCAAAGGACAAGCACATTATAACAAGTACGCAGCACTTTTACAGTAGATAGATTTTTGTAAACTCAACACTTAGCAGAGTCAAACAGGACGGAGATCAGGGAGAGGGATTTCAAATGTTGTTGTTTCATTTATTATCTCTTTTTAGTCACTATATGTGTTTTGGTCGACCTTTATATTCGACTCTTCTGTCTGTACTCTCTTTAAGGCTTTGAAAACTTAGTTAGAAAACATGGGTACGTTTTTATAGGATTTGGATATAAATATTGGTTTTGAAAGGATGTCACAGAGCTGTAAACGCACTAACTATTCAAAAAATCAGAAAACATCCTGCAATCTCACTCCTACAACGTGGGGGTGTACCCGGAAAGAGAATTACCCAACGCTTTTGTATGGCGTCTTCTTTTCTCCTGAAAACATCTGTACAGGATGGTTCAAAAGTGGCTCTTGCTCCAACGCTATGTTCCAGATGCTGTCGATGCTAAACGGAGTATTTATTTTGGATCAGTCTAGTTTAGCCGCTGTGGACTATAGAATGCACCCGTTAAATGAATGGGGCTAGTGCAGCTAACACATGCACAAATGCGTTTTATCGTATTTTCCTTCCCTGCAGCCATTTTGAAAAAGCCCACAAAAGGCGAAAGTGGTGGCACATTAGTTTTAATGGAGGAGATAGAAATAACTAGATTCGTAAATATTTACAGTCTATGGTATTCCCCTTTTCCAACGAGTAACTGATGCTGGGCTTGTCTTCAAAACCACAGTACCTTTAGCTTAAAACATCCCTGGGCCGACACAGAACCACAAACCAAACTCCTAATACACAGTTCCACCTTTTTATGCCGTTATTGATTGTAAAACACATCCATCTCTAACTCTGTGCAAGTGTGAGTGAACATTCATGGCATTTTGACAATTCTGTATCTTACAACCAATGAGTCTTCTGGCCCCTGGAATAGCCATGTTCCAGCTTCTTCCCTCTGGCAGACGATAACCTCATGCAGGACATCTCGTTTTGCTAACCGTTTTAGTTTGATAATTTTCACAGCAACAATTGTTTCCTGCACTTTTGGAGTTTTGGTTTTATTTCTGTACTTTTAACCTTGTTTTTATGTATGTACTTGTCTTGTTTACACTGGGGACTTATGCAAATGTATTCCTCTGTGGTTTTACTGCAAACGGCAAATAAAATGCTTCTGAAAGCTCATTGGTTAGACCTAGGCTTCATAACAACATGATTTTCACTGGCAAAAATCCATCTAACCCCCTTCTCTTCGGAGCTGTACATCACATGCAGGGTTATAAACACACACACACATGACACACACACACACAACGCACACACCGCCTCACGCTTACAACTGCAGCAGAAAGAAGAAAACAGGAGGAACCCCCATCGTGGCTCCACGGCACAGAAAACAGGCCCATTAATAATTCAATTCATTTACAGAGGCGTACGCACTCACGTGAAGAGGCGCGTGCCAGCTGCAATTGTGCGTTCGAAATGTCAATGAACATGCGCAACTCATTCGCAATTTTTGCTGCTGTAGTTTTTCTGATTCTGCAGAGGATTTTTGAAACATGGCGCTTTAAAAAGGTATTGAAACGGTTTTAGTTGATTTCACAGTGACAATTGTTCCTTGTTTTGTTTGTTTTATTGCGGTAGTTTTAACTCGGGTGCATAGGAGGAGAGGCCTGTATAGCCTAATGTCAGAGAGAGAATAATCCCGCACACCGTCTTACTTGCAAATAAAAAATTATTTATTTAAATTGCGACGTTTCGGCGTTATGCCTTCATCAAGCAAAAATATCTGTATTTTTAACCTTATTCTAATGTATTTTTAAGCTGTTTAATTAATCTGTATTTTTCATTTGTATTTTTAATTCTGTCCTTTTT